GAGTGGTAGATCAGACGACCACCAACCTCAATGATGCTGTGATTCTATGAAAAACTATGTATCAGTCAGCCTTTTATCCCCAGGAACTGCAGGATCCAGACATCTGAAAGCACACGCTCGACTTCTTGTCTGTGTTTTTGCTATCAGCGTAATTCTAATTCTTTTTCTCTCCCTCCATATCACACCTAGTCTGATTATGACTTTTTTCTTACTAACATTCCTAATAATATGAAAAAGCACACTGTGTTCTCCTCAGTCTTGAGGAAGTAGTAGTAATTTGAGATTTACAGAGAAAAGGAAGGTGCAACATTTATTGTTCTCTTGTGTTTATTTAGTATTTGTTAGTGTTGGACTTCATAAATATCATATTTCAAATACTATGAAGGGTTCAAAAGCTTTGATTACTTTTCCCAGAATTATTTGATTTCTAGAAAATGAGCTCATATTTCCTCAATTTCACCAATGGATTGGCCTCATACATGGTTTTCACTTAAATTTTATTTACTGATACACAGCACTCATTTTGAGTGAACAGTTCAATAGAGAATGCAAATGACATAAGATGTAATAGATGACATTTCGTATTTGAATTGTTTTATAGTTTATGATAACAGTTAATAGATATTGTTACAGGTTAGTAACACTAAAACACATAGCTGTATTGCTTTTAGGATACCATATTTTAGTCTTCGTTACTCTAGAAATGTTTTATTTTTCTATTTGTCAGGATGACAAATCTTTCCAAACTACATGCACATTACAAACCTAAACATAGTCAGAACTCTTCTAGATTAAAATCCAAGTTTAGGTGAGTCCATTATGGTGAGTCCATAAGGCAATGAGTTGATAAAACCTCTCTGAAAAAGTTTCATCTAAAAATCATAGAAACATTTTAGGTCATCTGTTTGAACAACTCAGAAGAGTTTAATTAATACTTTATCAAAAGGTTATAATCTCTGGATCACCTACAACTTTCACCTTAAAACACAACAGCAAACTATTTTCACCTCTTAGGAAATATAAATTTGATGTAAATAATAGAATTTTTCTTAACTGCTCTATTTAAACATTATACAAACCTGTTCTAGGGTTTCTATTTGGCTGTCTTTGGCTTGCAAAATCTCTAAAACCCTTCTGTCCTTGACTTCAGCTTTCTGCTTTTCTCTGGAAACAAACAAAAAAAATAGACACTTTATTAGTCATAATTTGCAGTTAATCATTTGAATTTTTCATGTCCTGATAATGAATGTCATTTTAAAGCACAGAAAATTAAATTATCTGAAGCTGACAGGCCTTGCAGAATTAATCAGGGAGCATATGGCAAGTGACAGCAAATTACATCTGTAAACAGTGAACACAACTTTGTTCAAAAAGAAACAGAAGCAAGAGGTCTCGAAATACATTTTTAAGCAGCTGAAATTATCTGTCTCATTCTTTCCCAAATACAGAAAGTGTACTTGTCCACAGACTGAGTGAAATGCTTTTTTTCCTTCCTTGCAAGATAGAGCCACTAAGCTGCTTGACTTTGTGAGTCCTTCTCTCAACTACATGGCACTTTTATGCTTGAAACAACACTTTTGAACATCATGGGTAACTGTTTTACTATCTGCCACATGGATAGAACCTATAACTTTTATTGGAGAAAAAACAGACAGCTCAGAAGCTTGGGTAATGGGTCAAGCAGAGCGTCTCTACAACAAGTGCAGGGCTATAATCACCTCTGCAACACTTGGTAGAAAACCAGCTGATGAGTCATCAATGCTTTGTTTAACAAACCACCTCATCTCATTGCTATTCTGTTTCTTGACTGAGTTTTAAACATCGATGACCTTATGGGCTTTTGTTTTAGGCAAAAAAATCCCAAACGTTGTCATAGTAAGGATACACGGAGATTCCTTAGCACAAGATAGAGTTCCTATCGTATATATCTGCGACAAAGGTCTGAGAACCATATATTTCCTAAAAATGGCCAAATATTTCAGGCATCCCCAGCACCAGAGGTGACAGAGAAGCAGAAACTTATTCAGATTATACCTGCTCTCACAATACAGTTAAACTTCAATTCTGGCTGAATATAAGCTACCCCTGGAAGCCAAAGTATCCTACTTGTGCAGCTTTTCCTCTGCCAAAATGGGAACGTTTCAGAGGTGTAAGGGAATGGAAGAGTGGTACCTGTGAGTTTGTAAATCTGATCAAAAGTGGATGAGAATATCCAGCTGTGCACAAAAGGCTTCATCTGTTGAAGCATTTTATAATAGAGACCAAAAAGGATAGTAGATATATGGACAATTATTTTTCTCCACTATTGTGTATTACTGCATATTCTACTGTTATCAGCGTTTTTAAAGGTTAAACTACACTCTGCCCACAGGCCACCCAATACCATATTTTTTTAAATAAAGTTCTAGGTCTGCTAAAATATCTAATCTGATCTTGAGTAAATAAAGGATAAAAATGGTATGGAATTTAAAGCAAGGTTTTTGAAAACCAAGGTCTCAGGGCATCATAACCATAAGTAGCACCCTCCTGCTGCAGATACAGCAGCACTGATGTGCTGCAGCACTGGAAGAAAACTAAGAAAAACGTAGCTAAAAAGATACATATCTAAGTTACATTTAACTACAAGAAACAAAAGTATATGGGAACTTCAGCAGTTGTATGGCATTAAAAAAAAATCTAATCCCATACAGAAAATAATTCAGGAGCTGTAGTGAGCATAGAAAAGTGAAACCATGAATATTCAACTAGTATTCTGAAAGACATTTCATGTCTGAAAGGTATTTAGCATTTTAACTGAGACAGAAACTTAACAGAAAAATGCACATCAGATCCTGACCTTAAAGCATCTGATCATCTGCAATCAGAAGCATCGAGGAATTATCATGATAGATTGCTAGGAAGACATGAGCAGTGAAATACATAGCACAGCCAGTTTTTCATAGTTTCTCTTTGAACATCTACTAAAACTGAACTAAGTAGACTGCAATTACAGAGATCCATGCAAAAAAGAAGTTATCTGATACATTCCAGAGGTTACACTGTGATGTCCTTTTTAAAAAACAACTAAGGACAAAAAGGGAGCACAAGAGAGAAAACAACAGGTTTCACAACACATGACAGTTAATGAAACTGACCAGCCCAGCTTACAGTGCATAACTAGTTTTCAGAAATCACATTCTCGGTCAGGTTTTGAAAAACAGCAAGAGACCTTCTGATAAGCTTATAAAACTTTGTACTAAAAGATACTGAGTAACTTTAAAAAGTAGGAGTCAGTAAGGAAAAATGTCTGTGAATAGACTTATCAGAGAAGTTGGTGCATGTTCCAGAAACAGATATACTGTTCATGATAGGTACTGTACTTTATTCCACAACTTGAATGAACCAAAAACTGCTCCAGTGTAAAAACACCAATGCTTCTTCATACTTAATTATTTTGCTGTGGGGTCCTGAATGGCTATCAACAACTACCTTTTTTCGAAGATAAAAGTTGCAATACAAAAAACCCAAACATTTTTGGAAGAAGGTATCTCTCTCCCATAAGCACATTACACCATAATCTATCTGAGGAAGTGATGGATCTATATTAATATATGTCTTAACTGTAAGCATTGTAGTACTCCCAGTTTCCTCAGGTGTTAATTACAGCTAGACAACTTAAGAATTTAAGATTAGACACATGCATAACTGCTTGATCCAAAATTTTAAGAGCTTCAAAAGACAAAAAGCAAAGCAGCTCTTTACTACAAAGGACTTAGAATAGTAATGTGTAGGCACAGAACAAATCATACAATACATAAGCACATAATACACACACACACACAAAAGCCCCATAAACCACTGAATAGCACCACTTCCAGCCCTCAAAAGTATCCTGACCTTAACCACTGGCTGACATGTCCTACCCATTCTTTGTTCCCACAGTGATGTATTTCCCTCTCCATTTTAATTCAGCTGATTTTATATTTCTATTTAAGTAAAATGATTGTTCTAACCACTCATTCTATATCTACTGTCCACAATATGCCACTGTCTTCCCAACTCCTCTAACCACTATCTCCTCTCACAAAGTCAGCCTTTTTTAAAACCAGGCCCAATTAAACACAAATACTGCATAATTAGCCTCTTAACTCAGCTGTGATTAAACTTGTTTTCTAACAGATTAATTGATCTGAGAACTTGATGGGTTAGGTAAAAACCCAAAAACTTGATAGGTTAGGTTCTGGCTTCCATAGGTATGTCAGCCAGAAAAGGAAGGTGAAAGAAAGCGTACCCAGCCCCGCTCGATGAGCAAGATGGGCAAACTGGTAACAATAGATGAGGAGAAGGCTGAGGTACACAACGACTTCTTTCCCTCAGTCTTCACTGGCAGTCTCTCGTCCCACACCTCTCGAGTGGATGGACTGCCAAGACAGGGACTGGAAGAGCAAAGTCCCTCACACCGTAAAAGAAGATCAGGTTTGCCACCACCTGAGGAACGTGAAGATGCACAAGTCTATGGGACCTGATGAGATGCATCCCCAAATCCTGAGGCAACTGGTGATGTAGATGCCAAGCCACTCCTGCCGAGTCACTCTCCATGATATTGGAAAAGTCATGGCAGTCACGTGAAGTCCCTGGAGACTGGAAAAAGGGAAACGTTGCATACATTTTTAAAAAAGGTAGCAAGCAGGACCCTGGGAACTACTGACCTGTCAGCCTCACCTTCATGCTTGGGAAGATCATGGAAGAGATCCTCCTAGAAGCTATGCTAAGGCACATGGAGAAAGCAATGCACTCGCAGGCTCTCATCCTGCTGGGGGACGTCAAACACTGACATCTGCTGCAAAACTAGCACAGCAAGCTGTAGGCAACCTAGGAAGCTCCTGGAGCGTATGAAGGATAACTTCCTGTGCCAGGTAACAGGGAGAGTAAAGTCTCTCCCACTGTAAGAGAAGATCAGGTTCAAGACCACCTGAGGAACGTGAACAAGCACAAGTCTAGGGACAGGGAGGTAATTCAAGACAGGCAGCATGGCTTCACCAAGGGCAAGTCCTGCCTGATCAACCTAGTGGCCTGCTGTGATGGAACAAACAAATCAGTGGACAAGGGAAGAACTATGGATATCAACTTCTGTAAGGCCTTGGACACGGTCCTCCACAACATCCTTCTCTCTAAATTGGCGAGAGATGGATTTGATGGGTGGACGAGGAATTGGTTGGATGGCCGCATCCAGAGGGTAGTGGTCAAAAACTCAATGTCCAAATGGAGACTGGTGACGAGTGGTGTCCCTCAGGGGTCCATGTTGGAACCTGTACTGTTTAAAGTCTTCATCTATGACACAGTGGGACTGAGTGCACCCTTAGCATGGTTGCAGATGACATCAAGTTGAGTGGTGTAGTTGACACGCCTGAGGGATGGGATGCCATCCACAGGGACCCGCACAAGCTCAAGGAATGGGCCCGTGCCAACCTCATAAAGTTCAACAAGGCCAAGTGCACCTGTGTCGGGACAAACCCTGGTATCAGTACAGGCTGGGAGACCAAGGGATTGAGAGCAGCCCTGCCAAGAAGGACTTGAGGGTATCAGTGGATTAGAAGTTGAACATGAGCCAGCAATGTGCACTCGCAACCCAGAAGGCCAATTGTATCCTGGGCTGCATCCAAAGCAGCGTGGCCAGCAGGTCGAGGGACGTGATTCTGCCCCACTCTGATGAGACCCCACAAGAGTACTGCGTCCAGCTCTGGAGTCTTCAGCACAGGAAAGACATGGACTTGTTAGAGCAGGGTCAGAGGAGGGGCACAAAAGTGATCAGAGGGGTGGAACACCTCTCCTATGAGGACAGGCTGAGAGAGTTGGGGTTGTTGAGTCTGGAGCAGAGAAGGCTCTGGAGACCTACTGCAGACTTCCAGTACCTAAAGGGAGCTTATAGGAAAGACAGGGTCAGACTTTTTAGCAGGGCCTGTTGCAACAGGACAAAGGGTAATGGTTTTAAAAGAAAAGAGAATAGAATTTGACTAGATATAAGGAAAAAATTTTTGACAATGAGGGTGGTGAAACCCTGGCACAGGTTGCCCAGAGAGATGGTAGATGCCCCACCCTGAAAACATTCAAGGTCAGCATGGATGGGGCTCTGAGCAACCTGATCTAGTCAACAATGTCCCTGCTCATTGCAGGGATGTTAGACT